AATTACTCTGAATTAAAAAAAACTGATCATTTATTGAACAGGATGGAATCATTTCATAATTAAAGAACTTTCAGAGGTTTGAATCTTGAATACGACCGAACTTTTCCTTTTAAAGGACGCTTCATGCATCACATCCATAGTTATCTGACTGGTTTAACGCTTAATGAAACTTTAGACTTTAAATAATGAGAACATCACTCATACTCTGCCTCTATAGACATACCAGCACTTTTGTTTTCTTTGCTGATATAATCATTCAGGAAGATGATGGTGAGGTTCAGTGGGATCACTTCTAGTTCTGGTTTTACTCACCTGCCTTAATGATTCAGAGTGAAATATTGTTTCTGTCTGCTGTTAGTTTGAAACGTCTCTGTTTTTTTATCCAGTGCGCTCATGCAGGCTGCCTGATGGAGCTGTGCATCCAGTTGTGCATCACCATGCTGGGCAAGCAGCTCATCCAGAACAACCTTTTTGAGATCGGCATCCCGTAAGTCCTCTCCTCCTGGATGCATCCTGCAGGAGTTCTTCCTGCTGCAGCTGTGTGCCGTTTTCTCCTCCTCCTTTGGGCTCATCTGGGTGGAAGATTATTTACCTTCCTGATTCTTTTAGACCAAATCATTTAAAATTAGGCCGGATATCTGCAGAATCCAAAAGAGCAGAAATTCCACAAAAATTAGCTCAAAGCCAATAAAAAAAGACTGAAAAGAAAACCCAGAGAGTTTTTCTCTCAAGGCTGGGAACGCTGGATTGGGAATTAAGAGCTTCCCAGCTTGATCTGGAGACATGCAGGAGACATGCAGTCCTCACCTGGAGCCATTGCTTATGATCTGGAGGCCTTTTAATCCAGAGATTAGGACTGCATGTCTCCTGAAACGCTGTGACATCAGCTCTCTTCACTCTCCCTTCCACATGCGAGTGGCTCGCCAGGTCGGATTGCCTCAACCAACTGGCAGACTTAGTTTCTAGTCTAGAGTGGAGAAGCAGCATTTCATCCCTTTATCAACCAGAAGCCACCGCTGGCTGAAGACGAACGCTGGGGGGCCTTTCCAGCTGTGCCTCTGTGACAAAACTGTCCATTTCCTGCTCATTTTCAAAGAAACCATTTCACCATCGCTGGTGAGGATTCTCAGTCATCCAGGTCAGTCAGTCCAAAAAAGTTAAATTAATCCACTGGACTTTGTTTCTGTCTGAAGACGTTTCTCTTCCATCCAGGAATATTTTTCAATTCCAAATGTCAGAAATAGCATTGAGTTCCAGGTTTTATCCAGCAGCCCAACAAAGCCTTGATTTGTTTTAGAAAACATGCAAATAGAAATGGATGAACTGGTCCACCCCTTTGGAATGGGGGTGGTTTTGTTAGCCTGTAATAGCTCAGAAAACATGCAGATTAACACTGGAAAACCAGCTCCAGCCCTTAATAATGGGAGTAATGGAGGTCATTATTGGCCTGAAACACCAGATACTGGCCCATTGCTCGTTAAGGGTGATTGCTGGCCTGGCTGACCTGGCCAGATGTTTTGTTCCCCGTGCAATATCTCACCAGATGTTTTGTTCCCCGTGCAATATCTCNCAATATCTCGCCAGATGTTTTGTTCCCCGTGCAATATCTCGCCAGATGTTTTGTTCCCCGTGCAATATCTCGCCAGATGTTTTGTTCCCCGTGCAGTATCTCGCCAGATGTTTTGTTCCCCGTGCAATATCTCGCCAGGTCAGCCAGGGCAACAAGGCCTTTGTTGGGCTACTCTATAAAAGCCTGGAACTCCACACTAAAGCAGACATTTAGAATTGAAAAGCTTCCTGGATGGAAGCAAAACACCTTAAAACTTGGAAAACAAAGTCCATTGGATTGTTTTTTAACTTTTTGGAATGTTTAGAAAGAAAGATTTAGGGTTTCTCTTTGCTCTCCTGATCAGACCGAGGGTCTCACGCTCCTGGGGTTCAGCGGTTGCTTTAATGGCTCTGTGTTTGAATGACGTTGGTGAAGAAAGCTCTGATAAAAGCTGAGGAGCTGCCAACACGTGTGGAGTGGCTCAATTCAAATCTTCACATTCACAGCTAACCAGAGGAACTTCCATTGATAATCTCCTCTCCTTTATGCTAATTCCTTGCTTTTTATTGGCTTCATTGGGTCAGAAATTCCTGTTTCCTCATCAGAAATCCTCTGGATCCGGTGTTGGATGCAGAGCAGCTCAGCTGAGCCTAAATGTTTAACGTCCACCATCGGTTCTCGCTCTGTCCAGGAAGATAAAGAAACTGATGCGGAAGAGGAAGTCAGCCATGACCTCCAAGCAAGAGGAGGACTTCAACAAAACCCTGAAGCGCTACGAGAAGGATAACATCCTGGGTCCGTTTGTTAGCATCAACCCCGAGTACATGGAGATGAGTGAGTACAGCTGCTCATGATGCTGATGCATGTTCTCACCTCAGGATATGAGAGTATTTTGTCTTGGTCATAACAAACCCTGGGCCAGCTGCAGGGATTGGCATAAACCTGCAGCTCCTCATTGCTGCTGAGTCTTCATGTTGCAGATGGACTCTCACCATGAAACTCAGCCTGAGTTAACTCTAGTCAGGTCTAAACTCAGCCTGAGTTAACTCTAGTCAGGTCTAAACTCAGCCCAAGTTAACTCTAGTCAGGTCTA